GAATGTGAGTGTGCTTGGTTGTCTGTCTCTAAGTGTAGCCCTGTGATAGACTGGTGACCTGTCCAGGGTGTCCCCTGCCTTCACCCTAAGTCGGCTGGGATAGACTCCAGCCCCCCCACGACCCTAATGAGGATTAAGCGGTGTATAGATAATGGATGGATGGATCTTCAAAAATAAAAAAAAAAACAGCACCTGTCACCTAAACCAAATGGCCTGGGGTCCAAAAGACCCATAAAATCCTGAATAGGGTTAAAAACCTGTCCAGAAATTTAAAGTATTTGCTAAATATTCTAAAATTTATGCAAACAGATGAACACAATAAAAAAAAGAAAAGCTAAAGAATGGAGGAGGAGGAAGCAGCACTGTGAATAGAGCAAAACGCATCATTCACATGATCAGGTTGGATAACTTGAGTCGAGTCGCATTACAGTAAAGAGAATAAATGGCAAGTATGATGCAATATTTTAAATAATTGTTATGATATTATAAGATCAAATCAACTTTAGTGATCCCTCACTGGGGAAATTCAGCAACGTTACAGCAACTAGATAATGAAGCACAGTAACAAACAAGTCAACAAATGTACACCCTTTTCAAAATACAGATATAACTTGATAGATTATTTACTCAGTTGAAAGAATTGTACATTAAATTACACAGAATAGCAGCATTTAATTTATGTTATGTTGGTTAAATGAGTCAAATTAGTTGTCAGGTGATTATTACATTAATTTAATTTTTTGCTTTCTGTAGATGCAAACATAAAGAGGAAAAATAGTGTCATTGTTTAACATTTAAGTCTGACATAAACAAATGTGTTTTTATTTTATTTTTATTTTTTTTTATTGAAGGATTCATTCATCAACAAACACGTGTCAGTTTACATTTGGTGGAATAAATTGGAGTCTCCTGATAACAAATTCCCGGCCTGCGTTTTGCATCCAGTGTGCCGCTGACAGAGAATAACAGCTTAAAGGGCATGCATATGTAATGTGGCTAAAGGGCTGGAGAGCAGATGTGCAGGTTCCAGAGTAAGGAGGCTGACTGGCAACTATGAACCAGCTCATGTCTCCGTATAGAGTATTTTATTAAGTTAATTTATTGCAGCAAAAAGTAGCTCCTTCAGGTGGCCGTTGCATTTAATTTATATTTTTGGAAATAAGGTGGCTTTAAAATAAAAATAGGAGAAGCGCAGAATGTGGATTTATTGCCAAAACGATACGTTTAAAAGCTCCTGAGAATGTGCCGTCGACAGAGAGATTTACTTCTTCATTTATAGTCAGTTGGCAATCTGTGTGTGCAGTTAATTATGGCCACTGACATTGTTTCTTGAATTATCACTCAATCCGTTTGTCTATGGTTTTCTTTGGTTATTCTACCATTGCTTGTTGATATATGCTGACAGAGGTGATTCAGTTGCTGTCATTAACTATTAAGTGTCTTGATACGTCACAATTTTTGCATAACTGGCAGGTAAATGTTTTGTTCCCTTCCCCAGAAAAATACATTTTATATCTCATTGCTTCTTCTCTGGTCCAAACAATGGTGGCT